GCACGAATGTGCCGGAAGTGGCTGGGGTTTGGTGTTGCTGACCAAGCTGCATGGCAACGTAGTATATGAGGATAATTGGTTTGATGCCACCATTTGGCATTGCCAACAATTGGCAATATCAAAAAGTTGCCAAAAATTGACAACTTCTTGTGAGGTTGACAAGTAAACATGGTAACCAACCAAGCACTAGCCAATATTTGGCATCACACCAATTATGCCCTATAATCCTACACAGGGTGTTGATGACCAGGTATAGAATGACTGATTTTTTTTTGAACTTTGGCAACCTTTACTAAACGATGATCATATCTATTACAAGTGAAGGAATAAGAAAATCAGGAGGTTTCTCTCGCCACACATCCGAGGATTTCCTTGTGTAACTTGCTCAAGCTAGCGCTATCGCTTGCGCCATTGCTTTCCCGGTCACAATGCTCTATGGTTGCCCTGCCGAAGAGTCATAATCTGAAGCACCGTAATTTGATGGATCCAGAATGCTTGGACAATTTGTGAATCATATTCTACAGACAGGGTCGAGATACGTAGCTCTTCCCCAAGACACAGCCCCTCGAGAACCGCGGCTGCTTCCATAGACGCTACATCGGTGGCATACTCCTTGAAAGAACAGGATGCAGCTATGAAAGCTCTATTCGAATCACGCAGCAGCACCCTGTTAATCGGGAAAGAGCTCAGCGATGGCATTTTTACTCATGTTTCCAGAGCTGAATAACCCTTCACAAGGCCTACTAAGGACAAGGCTTCCTGCAATGCCTCTAGGAGATATCCTGGATGATCCTCGATGCGTACGCGCCCAAGTTCTGATGGTATTTTGCGCAGAACTCTTCCAACAATCTGCAATTAGCAGAAAGAAATGTGAGTGACTGAGAAGATGATGCAGCAGGAAAAAAAAATACATGCACACAACACGATGCTTGCCATGCTTTTCTTCTTCTTTGTCATTCTTTTTCGGGAATTAAGTTTAGTTTACTACCCTATTGATCGCAAAGCACAGTAAATAGGAACAGAATAATCAGATTATAGAAAAAACATCACTTGAAAATCGCGATGACAAGGTATTTCTGAAGATTTCATTATAATTCTCCCATGTAAAAAGGAGTTGATGCGGAATGATGAGTTCAAGCTCGAACCTTGCGAGCATAGCCACCATAAGCTATTCCTCCTATTAGAGCTTCCTGGGAACCAACCTTTTCAGTAGTTCTTGTCCCTGAATTTACAAAATGAAATAGTTCTTTCAGAAGGAACGTTTTCCCAGGACAGCAATACATTTGTGAATCAAAGTAAATTCTAAGTTTACGTTGTTTTATACAATTCAGCTACTGAACGCTGTCATATACCAACTGAGCACAAATTTCATAAGTATTCTGCGAGATACGAATTAAACACAAGGAAAAAAAATTACCAGGTAAAGTCCTAGCCTTGAAAAGACCAGCTTTCTTTAAGCAATCTACAGTGTATAAGTTGGTGCCGCCAGCCAGCTGATAAAAGCCTTCCAGACCATAGTAACAGCAAAGACTTAGAAAATTTGAACAGTAATATTCCCACAGATTACTCAGATATTATTACTAAGAATGAATGTGTTTACCAAGAGGCCTATCTTGTACTGAAGTCAGATCAACAGCAAAAGAAACAGTTTCCCTTGTTGCACCTCGACCGATGTCACCACTCATAGGACGACCATCTAACTACTCGCATAAATCAAAGTAACTGAAATAAGCCCAAAGTAAAAGCATGGATATGCTTAGAGGATCAGCAGTAGCATATACCAAATGCACGGCGGAGTTCCTATCACATTAAGAGGATTGGACAGAATTTACAGAAAATATGGCTATATATATATATATTAAGATAAAAGAACTACTCCCTCCGTTCTATATTAGTTATCGCTGATTCAGTACAAAGGGAGTACATATTTACAGCTATCACAGTTTACCAGTTTGAATAAAAACATAACCTAGAAAATACCAAAATTATTAAATAAGTTCATGAACAAAGCAATCTGGAAAACATAAGAGCAATGTGAAAGATGCAATTAGGAATTTGTTCTCTTGAGAATGACCTGCCAAAGATTATACCCTTCCAGATTAGACTTCATTATCATGTACGTTGCATTCATGAAATCAATTGTTGATGCACCAGCATTAGGCAGGCTTACCTGAAATGTATGAACTTCCTTATTTGTTATACGAGTAACAGAGGGGGATTTTTAATATGAAAGAAAGGAACATGGTGGCACTTCTTAGCATCAGAACTAGCACACATGCAGACGGAGTGTGAGGCTTACTGCGACCAACTTCACATTATTGATTGACTCACCCAAGCTGTTCCAGAGCGTACTAAACATACCGATTCCCCTACAATAAAGGAAAAGTATTGTAACAACTGTGCTACATAACAGAGAAAAAGCAACGAAAGATACACCAAGGAACAGCAAACCCACTTTCCAGTGGTATGTATTTCTATTGCATCAACATCACTCCTTTTCAACAGTTCAGCTGTCGTGGCAGGATCTCGTACATAGGACATAGCACCTGAAATGATTTAAACCAAAGTTGGTAGCTTTAATAAGATACACAAAGGCAAAGGTATAGGAATGGTAAGGTTACCATAAATACATGCTGAGATTACATATGCATGTAAAGAAGGTTATCTGGAAAAAAAAGAAGATACAGCTCAATTTAATAGATTATGTAAACCATCCTGATGGCTGAAATAAAAACAAATGAAAGAAACAAAAATACAGTGCTCACTTATTCTGTCATAAGGGCAAACTGATAAGCATCTACCGCAGCCATAGCATCGTTCCATAATGACACCATCCTGCACGAAACACGAGATCATGAAGAGATAAAACAAAAGCATAAAAAGTAACCAAACCAATAGGTACCTCGAGTTTATCACATATTGGATCGGACTGAGCATGTTCTCCTCCAACCATGACCCTCTTTAGTGATATTGCATCAGCAGGACAAACTTTCTCACATGGCTTTGAGCAATTCGGTGGGCAATCTTCAGGATCAAATTCTATGGACAGAGAGGAGTTCATGGCTTTAGACATTCTTTTTTCAGCAGTTACAAAATCCTTCAGTTAAACAGACACGCGGCCAGTCCTGCTAGTGAAAGCAGGAAACTGGCTACATATATATTAGAGGTACAGTGGTAAAGTAATTTACGAATTCAAACAAGCATAGTTAAATATAAATGTCAAAGAAGACAATCATTTTGAAGTAGCACATTCGCAAATCAAATTATAATAGTAAAGATTACGTTATTTTGTTTACCAGCTTTGCGGAAATGAAGATCTCTGCAATCATCATTAACGCTAACCATCACCCAAGGCCTTTGAACTTCTGGTACAATTGAGGCTGCTACATCAATACCTTCATTCACCGCACTGACTACGGATTTATCTGCTGCACAATCAATGCAATCCACTGCATGCACAAAACTGAGCCATGACTTCTACGTATAAACCCTCGTACATTGATGTAATCACGCCAAATAAGCAAATATAACAATTTTCAAAGCAGACTTTAAGGTATTCTGTAAAATGCTTTCTATGGCACATCCATTTAATCGAGATGTGACCTACTTGGTTGAACTATCCATTAGGTAACTTCCAAGCCTATTAAAACCCTCACACTTAAAGAAGTCCCTCCATGGATATGACCTTTGCAATATGCATATGTACATATTATCGCTATAGTAACACAAAGTTCTAAGCCCTATACATTTCCCTCAGTAATCAACAGACTTAGAATGTAACCATTATTTCAGATAAGAGGGAAATTAAATGAGTTAATGTGTGGCTGAATGCAAGAATGTATAGAACCTTCATGGAATTGCATGATTCTGTTATCTTGGTCACGCGCCTGGGTTCAATAATGATTTGATTTACATTAACGCCTGTTCAGAAAATGTCGAATTCCAGGTAATTCAGTTACCAGTTCTTTATTCACTATGTAAATATTTCATCAGTTGCTAAAAGTATTATTCCGCTGTTGGTACGAAATGGTAAACTTGCACCCGGAATTATTATTTTTCAATTAAATATGTATACCTCCAGCCAGCGTGTAGACAAGGGAGAGATTCCGGACATCGGCAGCATCCTACAAGGCATAGATAATGTTTGTGAACTACTCCCAGCCCCAAAGGTCTGGTAATTAACATATCAATTACATCGTCGCCACCACTAGTTCCACGTACTTTATACTAAAAGATTAGTCTCCCAGAGCCACAGGAAGACATGAACAACATCCACGAGCTGAACTGCACAGGTTAAATTAACTAGGATTTCTGTGTAATACTGCTAATAGAAAAACACTTCTCCTCCCTGTAATCATAATCATCAATCCATCATCATGGGCAGTCCCTTCCTCTAAAGTATAATGATATCACTTAATTACGAGGCAACCCTCAGCCAACGGGGACTAATAAGCAATAACACAACGTCGCAGCTCCGGCGGGAGAGTGCAGTGAAGGAACCAGGAGGCATTTTGCGACGGGGTTCCAGTATGCGGTACCTCGAAGCTGGCGCCACAGATGAGCTTTACCCAGTCGCCGCGCCGGAGGGCCTTGACCTGCGGCGGGTGCTGGTGGGAGTCTTCGCCGGCGACGCGGATAGTCCGGGATGCGGCGACGCGTGAGGCTGCGGCTCGGACGGCGGCGTGCGAGGCGAGGAGAGGCGGCGGCGGAAACGGCGCCACGGCCATAGCTTCAGGCGCGGTGGCGGAATGATATCTGCTTCCCCTGCTTCGCCATTGGGCCTTGAGCAAACGACTGGATTACCTGGAACCGTTCATCATGAGATCAACGGCCCCGATCTGTTAATCTAGGTGTCTACCGTTTTTTCCCCGAGAAACCTGGCAAGAGTACTGCCAATGCCAAGCTACTGTCTGTTTCTTATCAACAATGCTAGACCTGTAGAATTTATGCATTGTGTTCGTGAAACTTATGAGGTAGCCCACTCTTTAGCAAAATATGTTTATGATAGTAATTCTTCTTGTAAGTGGGTCGATGAACCCCCAGATTTTCTGGTGAATGCCATTGCAAATGATGTAACTATATTACCAATTCAATAAAGTCGCCATGATGGCATTCCCTCAAAAGAGAAAAACAATGCTAGACCTGTTAAAAAAAACAATGCTAGACCTACGGACATATCCTAGGGAAACCAACTTACGCACTAACTTGGCAACGTTTAACTAGAAACCAGGTGGCAGCAAGGCCCAGGCCATGGGAATCAGCAGGAGAGTGATTGGCGGGTGGGCGTATCAAATGGATTCCACAATGGGATACCCCATTTTCAAATTATCAAAATTGCAAATTATCAAATTTCATATTATTACATGAAACGTGAAACCTAATCTAAGCAGAGTCCATCCGGCTCAACGACGCCCATGTCCATGCCATAGACCCGAGTACTTGGTTTCATCGACTTCTCCGTTGAAGATATATGTGATAAAATGACTTCATCACCACCAATGCCAACGGCTAATTAACGGTTATTTCATTAATTCCTCTGGTATGAACTAAAAAAAAGAAGAGCTCCATTGGCTATAAGATGGAGTTGTTACATCAACCCCTCCCATAAACAATAATTAGGATCAGATCCTGCAAACAAAATCATGTCCCACAAAAGATATTTTTTGTTATGTTTCCTTCGCGTTTGACTCTATCCCATCAATATTAGGTATTTTTTTTCATCTTCTCCTCTACCTCCAACCTATTGATTGCCTTCCGCCCCTTATTTTTTCCACTACTCGTAGCCCATGGTGACACCAACTCTATCCTACATCGCACTAGCGACACGTCCAACAACATTTCATCGCTTGGTTGCCTACCACGAAGTGGTGAGTTAGTGGCCATGATTTAGTTTATTTTCTAGTAGATGATCCTTTAAATATTACTCAAGAAACGTTATAATATAACTAATCACACACACCACCATAACAAAAATAATACTTTATGAACTCATTGAATCATGGTAAATGGAACAATGAATTTTCAAGTTTTTTCTTCCTTTTTTGGACAGCAAAGCTGGTTGTGGGTTTACACAGAGTTCTTTTTTTTTTGCAAAAAGGTTTTACAGAAGCTACAGTTGGCTTTCCAGGATTAGTAGTTAATCCAATTAATATACCTCTTGCTCATATAACTGTTATTATTACCAGGTACCATCGTACACCAGCACAAATTGAACTCCATCTTTTCACATCACAACATAATAGTATATTGCTCATATAACTGAACTCCAGTTATATACCTCTTGCTCATATAACTGTTATTATTACCAGGTACCATAGTACACCAGCACAAACTGAACTCCATCTTTTCACATCACAACATAATAGTATATTGCTTATACATAGATAATTGAACTTGGTTGTATTGTATGTTTGACTTATCCATGTGCAGTCCGGTTAACCTTAATCAATGATGCTGGATGTTTGGAGTAAGTATCATCTATCAATATTTAATGTGCGGATATATATTATTGTTCTTCTTACCATCAAAATTATAGGAAGGTATGGGTCCGGAGCTCCACACCCGTTCCAATGAGTTTAAGTCTTAAGAAACTTCAGTGCATACTTAACATGGAGCAGCCCATGGACAATGATTGCTTCAACACCGCCGTGCTTATGCTGGCATGTGACGAGGGAGTATTGTTCATAGACCCTCCTATCACTACATGGATCTACGATTTTGTGTAAGTTACCGTAACTCCTCATTCTAGGTGCCATTAGTATCAAAATGTTGAAACAATATTTCTTCTTTTACTTAGTCCATGCTGCTAGAGTCAACACGAGGTCAAAAGTTTTTGTGAGAAGGAAACTATCCAGACATTGGCAACATTATTTGATAGCTGGCCTGGGATGAAGACCGACATCTCATCTTGCAATAAGGTAAATAAAATATTCTGTCCATTGTAATCATGCTTTGTTTTTGTTTCTAATAGCTCCACTTGTAGATTTATCTTCCCTATGCATTTATCGGCCGATACATATTGTACGTCATCGACAAAGAGGCACGTCGTCTATATATTATGGATCCTATTAAATCATCACAATCGTTAGAGAATAAAAACTTGAGGCATTCACTGAAATTAAAAAGTTTTTCAAGGGATTTCAAAGAAGCACTCGAAATAAGGCTGCCTGGGTGGAATTCCGATATATCTAAATGGCATCGTTTATTTCCGGCCGGTGTTCCAATGAGTATAGACGGGTAATGAATTCATAACAAGATTATTTACTTTTGTTATCATTATTTTATTTATATTATTAATTGAAAGTTTTTTCAGGAATGTGTCTGGCTATTTTGTTTTTCATTTTATGCTCTGGTGGAACGGTAAAGAATTGGTCAAGCCGGTTTGCGCGGTGAGTATTGTGGGTTACATCTTTTAGGACCTTCGGCGTGAAGTTTTCATACTAACTACATTTATTTTTTCTGCAGGATGGTATGAATTGAGGAAGCATTTTTTATTATACTTACTAAATCATCGTGGGAATGAAGCTACAGGAAACTTTCCTGATATTGTGAAAGAATTTTTTAAGCGCATCATCTAGATATTAATATTTTTGTAATAGATGTTAAGTTGTAACATCACTTAGTTTGTTACATTGCAATAATGGACTTCAATTTGTGTTACATGTTCAAGATGTGTCAATGTAAAACAATGTGTAACTCTGGTAAAATATTTCAAGAGCCCGTGGCAACGCACGGGCATTCTACTAGTCCAATTAATATACCTCTTGCTCATATAACTGTTATTATTACCAGGTACCATCGTACACCAGCACAAACTGAACTCCATCTTTTCACATCACAACATAATAGTATATTGCTCATATAACTGAACTCCAATTATATACCTCTTGCTCATATAACTGCTATTATTACCAGGTACCATCGTACACCAGCACAAACTGAACTCCATCTTTTCACATCACAACATAATAGTATATTGCTCATATAACTGAACTCCAGTTATATACTTCTTGCTCATATAACTGTTATTATTACCAGGTACCATCGTACACCAGCACAAACTGAACTCCATCTTTTCACATCACAACATAATAGTATATTGCTTATACATAGATAATTGACCTTGGTTGTATTGTATGTTTGACTTATCCATGTGCAGTCCGGTTAACCTTAATCAATGATGCTGGGTGTTTGGAGTAAGTATCATGTATCAATATTTAATGTGCGGATGTATATTATTGTTTTTCTTACCATCAAAATTACAGGAAGGTATGGGTCCGGAGCTCCACACCCGATCCAATGAGTTTAAGTCTTAAGAAACTTCAGTGCATACTTAACATGGAGCAGCACATGGACAATGATTGCTTCAACACCGCCGTGCTTATGCTGGCATGTGACGAGGGAGTATTGTTCACAGACCCTCCTATACACTACATGGATCTACGATTTTGTGTAAGTTACCATAACTCTTCATTCTAGGTGCCATTAGTATCAAAATGTTGAAACAATATTTCTTCTTTTACTTAGTCCATGCTGCTAGAGTCAACACGAGGTCAAAAGTTTTGTGAGAAGGAAACTATCCAGACATTGGCAACATTATTTGATAGCTGGCCTGGGATGGAGACCGACATCTCATCTTGCAATAAGGTAAATAAAATATTATGTCCATTGTTATCATGCTTTGTTTTTGTTTCTAATAGCTCCACTTGTAGATTTATCTTCCCTATGCATTTATTGGCCGATACATATTGTACGTCATCGACAAAGAGACACGTCGTCTATATATTATGGATCATATTCAATCATCACAGTCGTCAGAGGATAAAAACTTGAGGCATTCACTGAAATTAATTTTTTTTTCAAGGGATTTCAAAGAAGCACTCGAAATAAATCTGCCTGGGTGGAATTCCGATATATCTAAATGGCATCGTTTATTTCCGGCCGGTGTTTCAACGAGTATAGACGGGTAATGAATTCATAACAAGATTATTTACTTTTGTTATCATTATTTTATTTATATTATTAATTGAAAGTTTTTTCAGGAATGTGTCTGGCTATTTTGTTTTTCATTTTATGCTCTGGTGGAACGGTAAAGAATTGGTCAAGCCGGTTTGCGCGGTGAGTATTGTGGGTTACATGTTTTAGGACCTTCGGCATGAAGTTTTCATACTAACTACATTTATTTTTTCTGCAGGATGGGTATGAATTGAGGAAGCATTTTTTATTATACTTGCTAAATCATCGTGGGAATGAAGCTAGAGGAAACTTTCCTGATATTGTGAAAGAATTTCTTAAGCGCATCATCTAGATATTAATATTTTTGTAATAGATGTTAAGTTGTAACATCACTTAGTTTGTTACATGCAATAATGGACTTCAGTTTGTGTTACATGTTCAAGATGTGTCAATGTAAAACAATGTGTAACTCTGGTAAAATATTTCAAGAGCCCGTGGCAACGCACGGGCATTCTACTAGTCCAATTAATATACCTCTTGCTCATATAACTGTTATTATTATCAGGTACCATCGTACACCAGCACAAACTGAACTCCATCTTTTCACATCACAACATAATAGTATATTGCTCATATAAATGAACTCCAGTTATATACCTCTTGCTCATATAACTGTTATTATTACCAGGTACCATCGTACACCAGCACAAACTGAACTCCATCTTTTCACATCACAACATAATAGTATATTGCTCATATAACTGAACTCCAG